TGCTGCAAATTGACTTTGAGGCCTTTTACGACACGATTCCGCTCCCGGAGGCCCTTCGTGACAAGTTTGTGTTTCGCGCCAAGGGTCAGCCGACGTACTACCGTCTGCGAACTCTTCCCACCGGCGCCCGCTGGAGCGTGGCGGTTGGGCAGGCAGTGACTTGGATGATTGTCGACATCGACACCCCGGTTGTGGTGGACACGATGATCGACAACATTATGATTGCCGCGGAGTCGGGCCAGGAGGCCGCTTTTCTTTCGGCGGTGCGACGCATTCTGGATCGCATCCGCGCGGCGAATCTGCTGACGTCGCCGGACCGAGAGTCCCTCGCTGCGGCGTCCGACGAGGAGCTCCTGAGTATGGCCACGGAAACCAACGTGTTTCTTGGCGAGGAGTATGCCTGGAACGGCGAGGAACGCTTGGTGCGTAACTCGACCAAGACGGTGGCGAAGCTGCGGCTCGCATTGCGTGCCACCCGCTTCACCTGCCGCAGTTTTGCCTCGACCATCTCACTGATGATGTTTGCGCTGCACACGACGCAGCTCAACCCGGCCCGCGCATTTCGGCTTCTTCGAGCCTACCGAGGCGTGTACAGATTGGTCACGCGAGGGCGCGACTGGGACGACGAGGTCCCCTACCTGGACCCGGCCGTGGAACAGGAGATGCAGTCGTTGGGCGCGGAGCTCAGCGCGAACCCGTGGTGGACCATCGCGGAACCCCGCACCCCCACCTACGACGACGCGGCCTACGATGTGATTGCGTTCACCGACGCGTCGTGCTCGGGATGGGGGGCGATTGTCCGCCGCCGCTGGCTGCGGGGGCGGGAGGCATTCACCACCACCACCACCTACCAGCAGCGGTGGATCCATGACCTGCAGCCCCTCGCACAACATCGCGGTATGAATAACATACCGACGAACAAGAGTGGCGGCGGCCGCGCGGGGACAACGCCACCCCCCCCACTCGGCGAGGGGGAACAGCCCCCCCTGGGATACTTCAACGCCCGCCATTCGGCACACGCAGAGCCACGCGGAGCGGAGGCCCTGCTGCGCCTGCTCGTGCGCGAGGGCCTGCTGGCGACGGGAGCAAGATTGCCCTGGTCACGGACCATTTTCCGATTGTGCACGCGCAGAGGCGGCTCAACGGGTTTGGCGGCATCGGCCGGGGGTACGCCCTCAACCGGCTGTTTGAGTACGCGTTTGACTTGGGCCACAAACGCGGGATTGAGGTCACCTTCTTTTACCTGGCCGGCGCCGCCAACCCGGCGGATGCGCTCTCGCGCAACTTTGGGGGAGGACCGGACGGACGACACATTGTGGCCAGGAAGGTGGGCGATATGGGGCTCCCGCCCCTCCGCAGCACCTTCTCCCCGCTGTGCGAGGACCTTCCCTTCAAACGGGCTTTGCGGGGTTATTGGCCCCAACAATAGAGTGGATCGAGCGAAATAGGGGAACTGGGGTAAGATGAACGGGATCTTACCTGCCAGCACTATGGGGGAACGGAGTTGGCAAACTCCCTTGGGCGAGTGGCCTTGCCACAGACCTATAAAACTGAAATGCCGTTGGCATGCAGTCCAACGTGGCGTTGTCTGGATGGGACACGCTTCAGCTGTCGCAGCCATGACCCTGAGAAACGTTCCTTTCCTCCCTCTTCTCACTTCTTCACCCCCCACCGCGTCTTAGCTAGAATGACATTTGTCTACCGCCGAGAATATTTACGAAAGGTACAGTAATGTCATATTCCCTGGTTTGTTGCGTGTGGAGAGGAAAAACAACAAAATGTTAACTTGTAGTGTGGTTGTTTTTTGCGTGGGATGCTGCGTTGTGTGAAGGGATGTTTTTTGTTCTTTTTACTATTTTTCCTTCAACACGAGCAGCGTGGAGCAAAGGTGTGTGCGAAAACCAGATTATCGTCATCGATAGGTTTCTTTTGCCCGCCCACCCACAGCCCTCTGGTAAAAAGGAATTTTTATTTTTCTGAAAGCGATTATTTTT